AGACCAAGGTGTGTGACCAAGGTGTTCTCACCCTCTACACTGTGACCAAGGTGTTCTCACCCTCTACACTGTGACCAAGGTGTTCTCACCCTCTACACTGTGACCAAGGTGTTCTCACCCCTCTACACTGTGACCAAGGTGTTCTACCCTACTGTGACCAAGGTGTTCTCACCCTCTACACTGTGACCAAGGTGTTCTCACCCCTCTACACTGTGACCAAGGTGTTCTCACCCTCTACACTGTGACCAAGGTGTTCTCACCCTCTACACTGTGACCAAGGTGTTCTCACCCTCTACACTGTGACCAAGGTGTTCTCACCCTCTACACTGTGACCAAGGTGTTCTCACCCTCTACACTGTGACCAAGGTGTTCTCACCCTCTACACTGTGACCAAGGTGTTCTCACCCTCTACACTGTGACCAAGGTGTTCTCACCCTCTACACTGTGACCAAGGTGTTCTCACCCTCTACACTGTGACCAAGGTGTTCTCACCCCTCTACACTGTGACCAAGGTGTTCTCACCCTCTACACTGTGACCAAGGTGTTCTCACCCTCTACACTGTGACCAAGGTGTTCTCACCCTCTACACTGTGACCAAGGTGTTCTACCCTATCTACACTGTGACCAAGGTGTTCTCACACTGTGACCAAGGTGTTCTCTACACTGTGACCAAGGTGTTCTCACCCTCTACACTGTGACCAAGGTGTTCTCACCCTCTACACTGTGACCAAGGTGTTCTCACCCTACACTCTACCCCTCTACACTGTGACCAAGGTGTTCTCACCCTCTACACTGTGACCAAGGTGTTCTACCCTATCTACACTGTGACCAAGGTGTTCTCACCCTCTACACTGTGACCAAGGTGTTCTCACCCCTCTACACTGTGACCAAGGTGTTCTCACCCCTCTACACTGTGACCAAGGTGTTCTCACCCTCTACACTGTGACCAAGGTGTTCTCACCAACCCCTCTACACTGTGACCAAGGTGTTCTCACCCTCTACACTGTGACCAAGGTGTTCTCACCCTCTACACTGTGACCAAGGTGTTCTCACTGTGACCTGTTCTCACCCTCTACACTGTAATCAAGGTGTTCTCACCCCTCTACACTGTGACCAAGGTGTTCTCACCCTCTACACTGTGACCAAGGTGTTCTCACCCCTCTACACTGTGACCAAGGTGTTCTCACCCCTCTACACTGTGACCAAGGTGTTCTCACCCTCTACACTGTGACCAAGGTGTTCTCACCCTCTACACTGTGACCAAGGTGTTCTCACCCCTCTACACTGTGACCAAGGTGTTCTCACCCTCTACACTGTGACTAAGGTGTTCTCACCTCTACACTGTGACCAAGGTGTTCTCACCCCAAGGTCTACACTGTGACCAAGGTGTTCTCACCCTCTACACTGTGACCAAGGTGTTCTCACCCTCTACACTGTGACCAAGGTGTTCTCACCCCAATGTCTACACTGTGACCAAGGTGTGTTCTCTCTACACTGTGACCAAGGTGTTCTCACCCCTACACTGTGACCCTCTACACTGTGACCAAGGTGTTCTCACCCTCTACACTGTGACCAAGGTGTTCTCACCCTCTACACTGTGACCAAGGTGTTCTCACACTGTGACCAAGGTGTTCTACACACTGTGACCAAGGTGTTCTCACCCCTCTACACTGTGACCAAGGTGTTCTCACCCTCTACACTGTGACCAAGGTGTTCTCACCCTCTACACTGTGACACTGTGACCAAGGTGTTCTCACCCACTCTACACTGTGACCAAGGTGTTCTCACCCCAAGGTCTACCCTCTACACTGTGACCAAGGTGTTCTCACCCCTACACTACCAAGGTGTTCTCACACTGTGACCAAGGTGTTCTCACCCTCTACTGTGACTACACTGTGACCAAGGTGTTCTCACCCCTCTACACTGTGACCAAGGTGTTCTCTCTACACTGTGACCAAGGTGTTCTCACCCTCTACACTGTGACCAAGGTGTTCTCACACTGTGACCAAGGTCTACACCCAAGGTCTCACCCCTCTACACTGTGACCAAGGTGTTCTCACCCTCTACACTGTGACCAAGGTGTTCTGTGACCAAGGTGTTCTCACCCTCTACACTGTGACCAAGGTGTTCTCACCCCTCTACACTGTGACCAAGGTGTTCTCACCCTCTACACTGTGACCAAGGTGTTCTCACCCTCTACACTGTGACCAAGGTGTTCTCACCCCTCTACACTGTGACCAAGGTGTTCTCACCCCTCTACACTGTGACCAAGGTGTTCTCACCCCTCTACACTGTGACCAAGGTGTTCTCACCCTCTACACTGTGACCAAGGTGTTCTCACCCCTCTACACACTACCACTGTGACCAAGGTGTTCTCACCCTCTACACTGTGACCAAGGTGTTCTGTGACCAAGGTGTTCTCACCACTGTGACCTCTACACTGTGACCAAGGTGTTCTCACACTGTGACCAAGGTGTCTACACTGTGACCAAGGTGTTCTCACACTGTGACCTCTACACTGTGACCAAGGTGTTCTCACCCTCTACACTGTGACCAAGGTGTTCTCACCCCTCTACACTGTGACCAAGGTGTTCTCACCCCTCTACACTGTGACCAAGGTGTTCTCACCCTCTACACTGTGACCAAGGTGTTCTTACTCCTCTACACTGTGACCAAGGTGTTCTACCCCTCTACACTGTGACCAAGGTGTTCTCACCCTCTACACTGTGACCAAGGTGTTCTACACTGTGACCAAGGTGTTCTCACCTATCTCTACTGTGACCAAGGTGTTCTCACCCCTCTACACTGTGACCAAGGTGTGTGACCAAGGTGTTCTCACCCCTCTACACTGTGGCCAAGGCGTTCTCCCTCTACACTGTGACCAAGGTGTTCTCACCCCTCTACACTGTGACCAAGGTGTTCTCACCCCTCTACACTGTGACCAAGGTGTTCTCACCCCTCTACACTGTGACCAAGGTGTTCTCACCCCTCTACACTGTGACCAAGGTGTTCTCACCCTCTACACTGTGACCAAGGTGTTCTCACCCCTCTACACTGTGACCAAGGTGTTCTCACCCCTCTATACACTGTGACCAAGGTGTTCTCACCCCTCTACACTGTGACCAAGGTGTTCTCACCCCTCTACACTGTGACCAAGGTGTTCTTACCCTCTACACTGTGACCAAGGTGTTCTCACACACTGTGACCAAGGTGTTCTCACTCCTCTACACTGTGACCAAGGTGTTCTACACTGTGACCAAGGTGTTCTCACCCCTCTATACACTGTGACCAAGGTGTTCTACACACTGTGACCAAGGTGTTCTCACCCCTCTACACTGTGACCAAGGTGTTCTTACCCCTCTACACTGTGACCAAGGTGTTCTTACTCCTCTACACTGTGACCAAGGTGTTCTCTACACTGTGACCAAGGTCTACACACTGTGACCAAGGTGTTCTCACCTATCTACACTGTGACCAAGGTGTTCTCACCTATCTACACTGTGACCAAGGTGTTCTCACCCCTCTACACTGTGACCAAGGTGTTCTTACTCCTCTACACCGTGACCAAGGTGTTCTGTGACCAAGGTGTTCTTACTCCTCTACACTGTGACCAAGGTGTTCTTACTCCTCTACACTGTGACCTGTTCTACACTGTGACCAAGGTGTTCTGTGACCAAGGTGTTCTTACTCCTCTACACTGTGACCAAGGTGTTCTTACTCCTCTACACTGTGACCAAGGTGTTCTTACTCCTCTACACTGTGACCAAGGTGTTCTTACTCCTCTACACTGTGACCAAGGTGTTCTTACTCCTCTACACTGTGACCAAGGTGTTCTTACTGTGACCAAGGTGTTCTTACACTGTGACCAAGGTGTTCTTACTCCTCTACACTGTGACCAAGGTGTTCTTACTCCTCTACACTGTGACCAAGGTGTTCTCACCCCTCTACACTGTGACCAAGGTGTTCTTACTCCTCTACACTGTGACCAAGGTGTTCTTACTCCTCTACACTGTGACCAAGGTGTTCTCACCCTCTACACTGTGACCAAGGTGTTCTTACTCCTCTACACTGTGACCAAGGTGTTCTCACCCCTCTATACACTGTGACCAAAGTGTTCTTACTCCTCTACACTGTGACCAAGGTGTTCTTACTCCTCTACACTGTGACCAAGGTGTTCTCACCCCTCTATACACTGTGACCAAAGTGTTCTTACTCCTCTACACTGTGACCAAGGTGTTCTTACTCCTCTACACTGTGACCAAGGTGTTCTTACTCCTCTACACTGTGACCAAGGTGTTCTTACTCCTCTACACTGTGACCAAGGTGTTCTTACTCCTCTACACTGTGACCAAGGTGTTCTTACTCCTCTACACTGTGACCAAGGTGTTCTTACTCCTCTACACTGTGACCAAGGTGTTCTTACTCCTCTACACTGTGACCAAGGTGTTCTTACTCCTCTACACTGTGACCAAGGTGTTCTTACTCCTCTACACTGTGACCAAGGTGTTCTTACTCCTCTACACTGTGACCAAGGTGTTCTTACTCCTCTACACTGTGACCAAGGTGTTCTTACTCCTCTACACTGTGACCAAGGTGTTCTTACTCCTCTACACTGTGACCAAGGTGTTCTTACTCCTCTACACTGTGACCAAGGTGTTCTTACTCCTCTATACACTGTGACCAAGGTGTTCTTACTCCTCTACACTGTGACCAAGGTGTTCTCACCCCTCTATACACTGTGACCAAGGTGTTCTTACTCCTCTACACTGTGACCAAGGTGTTCTCACCCCTCTATACACTGTGACCAAGGTGTTCTTACTCCTCTACACTGTGACCAAGGTGTTCTTACTCCTCTACACTGTGACCAAGGTGTTCTTACTCCTCTACACTGTGACCAAGGTGTTCGCATACTCCACACAGCACGAGACATAAGACCTGTGCCCATGTCCACCTTCACAACTCACAACTGCCAGTCATGGAGGGGGCCACAAACAAAGTTATATTTGCCAATTGATTTATTTAAAAGAAAAGTTAAGTTTTGCGCGGTGGTCGCCTAATGTCCGCAGCGCGGTGAAGATAACCTAAATAACTAATATGAAGCTGAAGGGAAGACCGCAGAGCACACAGCACCACCCAGGTGTCTGCTGCTGTTGATTAGGGCTGCTGTTGTTGCTTTACTTGGTAATGTTGTTGACCTGGATGGTTATTGGTAACGAGCAACAGAAATTAACACTTAACGGGAGTTGCTGTGATTGCAGCAGGTGTTGCTGTGATTGCAGCAGGTGTTGTTATTGGTGGTGCTCTTGCACTGAACGTTGTGGCAATGGTTGCTGCAGTTCTGTTCCTGCTGCTAATATGTGGTGTTATTCCTTTATCCGCTTGTGTTATGTTGCATCTACGTCGCCTGTCCTCGCCCCTCAGGTGTCCAGGAGTTAAGGTACAAGGCCGCATCTACGTCGCCTGTCCTCGCCCCTCAGGTGTCCAGGAGTTAAGGTACAAGGCCGCATCTACGTCGCCTGTCCTCGCCCCTCAGGTGTCCAGGAGTTAAGGTACAAGGCCGCATCTACGTCGCCTGTCCTCGCCCCTCAGGTGTCCAGGAGTTAAGGTACAAGGCCGCATCTACGTCGCCTGTCCTCGCCCCTCAGGTGTCCAGGAGTTAAGGTACAAGGCCGCATCTACGTCGCCTGTCCTCGCCCCTCAGGTGTCCAGGAGTTAAGGTACAAGGCCGCATCTACGTCGCCTGTCCTCGCCCCTCAGGTGTCCAGGAGTTAAGGTACAAGGCCGCATCTACGTCGCGTGTCCTCGCCCCTCAGGTGTCCAGGAGTTAAGGTACAAGGCCGCATCTACGTCGCCTGTCCTCGCCCCTCAGGTGTCCAGGAGTTAAGGTACAAGGCCGCATCTACGTCGCCTGTCCTCGCCCCTCAGGTGTCCAGGAGTTAAGGTACAAGGCCGCATCTACGTCGCCTGTCCTCGCCCCTCAGGTGTCCAGGAGTTAAGGTACAAGGCCGCCAGGTCTTTAAGGCCATATTTTCCTATACATAAAACTTTCAAAGGAGCTTTAACCCATAAGGAAGGATTAGAGCAAACTAAGTTTACATGCTGAGAAATATACCTCTGAACATGTATACCAAGTTGTCGTTGTTGTTGCGGATGTTTACAGGTGTTTTGTTGCAGATGTTTACAGAAATATGAGTTAAACAACTCAACACCAGCAACTGAGGTCATCTTCCTCTTGGGATGAAATTCGTAAATTTTGAGTGTCTCAAAGTGCAGTGATAATGATAATTTTGATCAGAGAGTGTCAGGTTGTTCATCAGGAAGTTCTTGGGTGTTCACCAGGAAGTTCTTGGGTGTTCATCAGGAAGTTCATCGCAGAGTTCATGCATGGTGTTCATCCGGGAAGTTTCTCAAGAAGACACCAAGGTCTACGACGTTCATTGATCTTTCTGGTTGATGCACGTACCGAATTTCTCAAGCTGTGAGGAGATGGACGAGATTAGGGTCAGGTCTGTCTGTCGGGGAGTATGTGTGAAATGTGTTGATTTACACACTGAACATTATGAGTGTTGTTAGTCCCAAGATTAACCATATCCTACATCAAATGATCTCATATATAACCCCCGATCAACACACACATATGGGACATTCATTCCTAATAAAAGGTTATGACACTGCTATTAAAGCGAAAATGAAAGTTTGAGGAACTAGACAATCGGGGGGACTAAGGGACACCAGCTAAGGGACCATATCCATACTTGACCATATCCATACTTGACCATATCCATACTCCATACTTGACCATATACCATATCCATACTCCATACTTGACCATATCCATACTCCATACTTGACCATATCCATACTCCATACTTGACCATATCCATACTCCATACTTGACCATATCCATACTCCATACTTGACCATATCCATACTCCATACTTGACTCTGAGAGCAGACGGGAAGAGCATTGCGACCTTGATACTCTACAATCCCCCACCAAACTGTTGAAGGCCAGAACAGAAGTATGATGACAACAACAAAACATATATAGATGAGCAGCAGAGTGCGGCAACAGCTCACAGAATGAGGACGAAACTGCTGGTGATGGGGGACCTCAATCACGGAGTGATCGATTGGGAATCAGGAAATCCTCATGGTGGGGAGGAAACGTTGGAAGCAAAGTTATTAGAAGTTATTGACAGGAATTTCCTGACACAACATGTGAAGGAAGACACAAGGGAAAGAGGAGGGGCGAGTCACCGTTCCTATTAGAGCAAATTTTCACCCAGAATGAGGAAGACTTCGCGAATTTGGAACGTGAAATACCACTAGGAGCCAGTGATCATTGGGTCCTGGTCTTTGACTACATGGATCGAGCTTAAAATTGTGACTACGGGACAAGAGGTCTAGGAAAGGGAATTACACACACACACACACAAACACTTATGTGAAGGGAGTCGGACTGGCGTAGAGTAACAAGCGGGGTGCCTCAAGGAACGGTGCTGGGTCCCCATACTATTCCTCATTGAGTAAACGACTTGACTGCAGGAGTTAAGTCTTATACAAATGTCGATGTTTTCAGGTGATGCGAAACTAATGAGAAGGGTTGAGACAGATTATGATTGTAAGATTCTCCAGGATGACTTGAACAGGTTGCAGAGCTGGTCAGAAAAATAGCTGCTAGAGTTCAACACCAGCAAGTGTAAAGTGGTGGATATGGGATCAGGAGCCAGGAGACTGAAAGGCCATTTCACGATAAAGTGGAAGTACCTCCCTATAACGACTAGAGAAAAAGACCTGGGAGTGGACATAACATTAAACCTAACTCCAGAGGCTCATATAAATAGAATAGCTTCAGTCGCAGACTCAACGCTGGCAAAAGACAGAACATCCTTCAGGAACTTGAATAAGGAGGCTTTTAGATCACTGTATACCACCTATGTGAGGCCAGTCTTAGAGTATGTCGCCCCATCTAAAAAATACACACATAAGGAAACTCGAAAATGTGAGAAGTTTGCAACGTCATAGAACTGCGAGGGATAAAGTACGAAGAGAGACTGACGGAACTAAACATTAGAAAGTAGGAGGGAGAGGGGAGGAACATGATACAGACGTATAAAATACTTAGAGAGATTGACAAAGTGGAAACAGAGGAAATGTTTACAATGAATAACAATAGAACAAGGGGGCACGGATGGAAGTTTAAGACTCAGGTGTGTCACAGAGATGTTAGAAAATGTTCTTATAGCATAAGGGTATACATAGTGAGTTAATGGAATGACCTAAAGGAGCAGGTTGTAGAGGCTAACTCCATTCATAACTTTAAAAGCGGGTATGATGGAGAAATTGGCCAGGAGTCATTACATTAGACAACCAACGATTAGAAAAGCGGGATCCAAGAGCTAGAACTCGATCCTGCAGGCACAAATAGGCTAGTAGGAATAGGTGAGAACACAGACACACACACACACACACACACACACACACACACACACACACACACACACACACACACACACACACACACACACAATAAGAATGAGTGACCACAGTGTATTGAACTTTGAGTACCTGATAGAGCTAGGAATTATCTCCCCCAAAAAAGCACTAGGAATCAAAAGGCTGGCATACCGAAAGGGGAATTATGAACAGATGAGAAGTTTCCTAAGTGAAATACCTTGGGACACAGACCTCAGTGATAAGTCTGTACAGGGTATGATGGACTATGTTACCCAAAAGTGTCAGGAGGCAGTAAACAGGTTCATCCCGGCCCAAAGGGAAAAATCCGAGAAGCAACAGAAGAATCCATGGTATAATAGGGCATGTATGGAAGCGAAGAAACTGAACAAAAGGGCATGGAGAAACTTCCGGAATAACAGAACACCAGAAAGCAGAGAGAGATACCAGAGAACCAGGAATGAGTACGTCAGGGTGAGAAGAGAAGCAGAGAAAAGTTTTGAAAATTATATAGCAAAGAAAGCCAAGACCGAACCAAAGCTACTCCACAGTCACATCAGAAGGAAAACAACAGTGAAAGAACAGGTATTGAAACTTCGAACAGGCGAGGACAGGTATACAGAGAATGACAGAGAGGTGTGTGAAGAACTCAACAAGAGGTTCCAGGAGGTCTTCACAATAGAACAAGGTGAGGTCACTGTGCTAGGAGAAAGGGAGGTAAACCAGGCTGCCTTGGAAGAGTTCGAAATTACGAGAGAGGAGGTCAAGAGACACCTGCTGGATCTAGATGTTAGAAAGGCTGTTGGTCCAGACGGGATCTCACCATGGGTACTGAAAGAGTGTGCAGAGGCACTTTGCTTGCCACTCTCCATAGTGTATAGTAAGTCACTGGAGACGGGAGACCTCCCAGAAATATGGAAGACGGCGAATGTGGTCCCAATATACAAAAAGGGCGACAGGCAAGAGGCACTGAACTACAGGCCAGTGTCCTTGACTTGTATACCATGCAAGGTGATGGAGAAGATCGTGAGAAAAAACCTGGTAACACATCTGGAGAGAAGGGACTTCGTGACAAATCGCCAACATGGGTTCAGGGAGGGTAAATTTTGCCTTACAGGCTTGATAGAATTTTACGATCAGGTGACAAAGATTAAGCAAGAAAGAGAGGGCTGGGCGGACTGCATTTTCTTGGATTGTCGGAAAGCCTTTGACACAGTACCGCATAAGAGGCTGGTACATAAGCTGGAGAGACAGGCAGGTGTAGCTGGTAAGGTGCTCCAGTGGATAAGGGAGTATCTAAGCAATAGGAAGCAGAGAGTTACGGTGAGGGGTGAGACCTCCGATTGGCGTGAAGTCACCAGTGGAGTCCCACAGGGCTCTGTACTCGGTCCTATCTTGTTTCTGATATATGTAAATGATCTCCCGGAGGGTATCGATTCATTTCTCTCAATGTTTGCGGACGATGCTAAAATTATGAGAAGGATTAAAACAGAAGAGGACTGTTTGAGGCTTCAAGAAGATCTAGACAAGCTGAAGGAATGGTCGAACAAATGGTTGTTAGAGTTTAACCCAACCAAATGTAATGTAATGAAGATAGGTGTAGGGAGCAGGAGGCCAGATACAAGGTATCATCTGGGAGAGGAAATTCTTCAGGAGTCAGAGAAGGAAAAAGACTTGGGGGTTGATATCACGCCAGACCTGTCTCCTGCAGCACATATCAAGCGGATAACATCAGCGGCATATGCCAAGCTGGCCAACATACGAACGGCATTCAGAAACTTGTGTAAAGAATCATTCAGAACTTTGTATACCACATATGTCAGGCCAATCCTGGAGTATGCAGCCCCAGCATGGAGCCCATATCTAGTCAAGGATAAGACTAAACTGGAAAAGGTTCAAAGGTTTGCCACCAGACTAGTACCCGAGCTGAGAGGTATGAGCTACGAGGAGAGACTACGGGAATTAAACCACACTTCGCTGGAAGACAGAAGAGTTAGGGGGGACATGATCACCACATTCAAGATTCTGAAGGGAATTGATAGGGTAGATAAAGACAGTCTATTTAACACAAGGGGCACACGCACAAGGGGACACAGGTGGAAACTGAGTGCCCAAATGAGCCACAGAGATATTAGAAAGAACTTTTTTAGTGTCAGAGTGGTTGACAAATGGAATGCATTAGGAAGTGATGTGGTGGAGGCTGACTCCATACACAGTTTCAAGTGTAGATTTGATAGAGCCCAATAGGCTCAGGAACCTGTACACCTGTTGACTGACAGTTGAGAGGCAGGACCAAAGAGCCAGAGCTCAACCCCCGCAAACACAACTAGGTGAGTACACACACACACACACACACACACACACACACACACACACACACACACACACACACACACACACACACACACACACACACACACACACTCAGTTTACCTTTCCCTTCCTGGTCATGAGGCAGCGGGTCATGGGCACCAACTCTTCCTGGCTGAAGCCAAGCTTTTTGAGATAATTATCCATGCTGTAGTGGTGAGGACAGTTGGACCCTGTGCTGGAAGTGCCAGTGTTGGAAGTGCCAGTGTTGGAAGTGCCAGTGCTGGAAGTGCCAGTGTTGGAAGTGCCAGTGCTAGAGCTGCCTGTGTTGCTTCCACTGTGTTCCCGGGAGTCTGCAAAAATAATGAATACATAAAACACATCACTTGGACATTAAACAGTTTCTCGGTATACTATTTGTACAAGATATACAAGTATATGTATACAAGCGGTGGTGCAAGAGCTTTGCGACAAACTGTGAGGGGTTACCAATGGCGGTTCTTAGATGATAAAGCACTTAAATGGGGATCAAAAGGTATATCCTAGATGGGGAATGTGTGTCTCAAAACGAAGATGGTGGCGAAGTTACTGACTGTGTTGTGAGGAGGGAGGAGCGGTGAAGCTGTAGCCCAGCTCGCTGGCGCAGGCCGTGATGTTGGCCAACATCTTCGGCTTCCAGTTGGTCGAGTTATAGGGCTTTGCTGGCTTGAGCTGCTCCATACACTTGGCCATGTTGCCGACACAGTTTCTGGTGTCTGTCTGCTCACACAGATCTTGTGCTGGGGGCATAGAACACCTGGTGAAATCGTGCATGAAATATAAGAATACAAGATTTATATGGAGCACTGATTGTCGTAGCGACATATCCCTCTCTGTTAACCAACCTTGAGGGTTTGGGAGTACTCCTTAAATAAAGACACGCTCCAACTACTGCTACCTCCTAGCACGGTCACCATAACAAACGCACATACATCACCATACACAACATATACATAAAGAAATGCTCACCACCACTACACACTCACCTGCACTACGCACTCATCATAACCACACACCACCACCACCACTACACACTCACTACACCACACACTCACCACCACTACACACTCACCTGCACTACGCACTCATCATAACCACACACCACCACCACCACACACTCATCATAACCACACACCACCACCACCACTACACACTCACCACCACTACACACTCATCATAACCACACACTCACCACCACCACACACTCACCACCACTACACACTCATCATAACCACACACCACCACCACCACTACACACTCACTACACCACACACTCACCACCACTACACACTCACCACCACCACACACTCACCACCACCACACACCACCACCACCACCACTACACACTCACCACCACCACACACTCACCACCACCACACACTCATCATAACCACACACCACCACCACCACCACACACTCACCACCACCACACACTCACCACCACCACACACTCACCACCACTACGCACTCATCATAACCACACACCACCACCACCACCACACCACCACCACCACCACACACACACTCACCACCACTACACACTCACCTGCACTACGCACTCATCATAACCACACACCACCACCACCACTACACACTCACCACCACTACACACTCACTACACCACACACACACCACCACCACACACCACCACCACCACCACCACACACACTCATCATAACCACACACCACCACCACTACACACTCACTACACCACACACTCACCACCACTACACACTCACCACCACCACACACCACCACCACCACTACACACTCACCACCACCACACACTCACCACCACCACTACACACTCACCACCACCACACACTCACCACCACTACACACTCACCACCACCACACACCACCACCACCACTACACACTCACCACCACCACCACACACCACCACCACCACTACACACTCACCACCACCACACACCACCACCACCACACACTCACCACCACCACACACCACCACCACCACCACACACCACCACCACCACTACACACTCACCACCACCACACACCACCACCACCACACACTCACCACCACCACACACCACCACCACCACTACACACTCGCTAAACAACGGTGGGTTCACTCAGCTGGCCCCACCGTTGTTGTTGTTGTTGTTGTTGTTGTAGATGTAGCTACTGGGAAGGAAATGTCCATGTAGCACAGACTATAGTGAGCCCCGGACCCACCGCACAACAAACATTATCAATACATTTATCACAAATACAATCACTGAGAACGGAGTCGAGGAAATACATGCAGACTTCGTTATACAAGACTTGGGAATCATTACACGAAACATTATGACATTAACAAGGAAGAAAAACTTTAACATTATGACTCTGCAAGGAAAATAGAATCATACTAATCCCGTAGGGAGCCGGTGGGCCGAGCGAACAGCACGCGGGACTTGTGATCCTGTGGTCCTGGGTTCGATCCCAGGCGCCGGCGAGAAACAATGGGCAGAGTTTTTTTTCACCCTACGCCCCTGTTACCTAGCAGTAAAATAGGTACCTGGGTGTTAGTCAGCTGTCATGGGCTGCTTCCTGGGGGTGGAGGCCTGGTCGAGGACCGGGCCGCGGGGACACTAAAAGCCCCGAAATCATCTCAAGATAACCTCAAGAAGATCCCCATCTATTACTCATCGTGGCATAGATGAATATAGAAGCAAAAATTGGTATGTGACAGCTTCACATACTTCTCAGATGGACCAGTAGACTAACATAGACGAATATCTAGTGCTGCAGATAAGGTGGAAAATTCCATAGTTAATTGGCGACTCTCAAATGGGTGTTCAACTTTACAGAGATGTTAGCAATTGAAAAGTCTTTGGAACATGTTCTTGCTGAACACCGAAACGGGTTATCATACAAACAGATTCCAGAACTTCCATAGAAACCTCGCAACAAGAACATTTATGTAACTACATTCATCTGACCACAAATGTCATAGCATTAATGCAAACATTCAAATGGTAAGGTCGGCGAATACTTACCACCTAGGTGCCAAGTCACGTAGGAACACCTGGATATGACATTACAGATGAAGCAACAAACTTTCATCTAAGAGGTGGGAATGAAGATATTTACATCCCATAGAGTCTAGTGCCCAATAAGAAAAAAATTAGAGAATAATTAATAAATTAGAGCAGAAGATGTACAGTGACTACAACGCAAAATCGCGAGTTACTGGTTGGTGTAAGAATCCAGTCAACTTAGTTTACAGTTTACAAACTACTTATTCTGAGGAGACGTCACAACAGAAAACCAAAGTGCACTTACACTGCATGAGGTTTTGGATACCCATGTACAGGGAAAATAGGCTTACGTCACACACATACACTCACCACACACACACTCACATCTCATACACTCACCACACACACACTCACATCTCATACACTCACCACATACTCATCACCAATGACCCTCGACTTACCCAGGGTGATCATGACTTGGGAGCTGGTCTCCGGACACGACTGGCCTAGAGGAGCACCAGTCTGGGGGGCGGCGTCAACAAGGACCAGCACCGCCGCCGTCACCACCACCACACACGTCACCACTCTCATCATCATCATGGTGCTACAGCAGACTCTGAGGAAGACGGAGGTCGTCACTGTCAGACAGGGAGAGGGTGAGATCACTGTGAGACAGAGTGAGAGAGAGAGAGAGAGAGAGAGAGAGAGAGAGAGAGAGAGAGAGAGAGAGAGAGAGAGAGAGAAGAGAGAGAGAGAGAGAGAGAGAGAGAGAGAGAGAGAGAGAGAGAGAGAGAGAGAGAGAGAGAGAGAGAGAGAGAGAGAGAGAGAGAGAGAGTGAGAGAGAGAGAGAGAGAGAGAGAGAGAGAGAGAGAGAGAGAGAGAGAGAGAGAGAGAGAGAGAGACAGAGAGACAGAGACAGATTTATCTTGTATATAAATAAATAATCGTCACTGTGTGACAGGGAAGACGTGATGGTCACTGTGAGAGAGGAGAAAGGGAGGTCGTCGCTGAATATGACCGTAAAAGCCGTGTATTAAGAACAACTCCGCATTCAAGCAGAGATTGATTGCCGATTGGTCGTCTACATTCAACAGGATCTGCATCTGTCTCTGCTGATCACGTGACCCGTGTAGGAGGGGGAGGGGGACACTGGCAGAAGTCGTTATAGTGTCACCTGCCTGTAAACATGTCCGTCTTGTGTGTTGCAGGTGGTGGTGGTGCAGGGGTAGTGAGTGAGACACTGGTCTCTGGGAACCTCTTACACACACACCAGCCGACCAATAACATACGGGACCAAAGACGGGACCAAAGAGACAGGACCAAAGAGACAGAGCTCAACCCCCACAAGCACAACTAAGTGAGTACACGGGTGTTAGCGTAAGTACCTGGTGGTCTTGAGAGCTTGGGTCTGGCCAGTATCTGAATGGGTGACGGACCGGACACTTCGACATCCTCGCCCTTGGCTAAAATGATTCCAGTCTCCATCATTGGTTCTATATATCTCGGACTCACTTTAGAGCTTAGAGCATTTACAGTATCATTATTAAATGTATAAAGTATGGTCTGCATGTATCTTGTGTGTGTTGAGCTTCACAATGACTGGGTGGTCTAAGGCAAGTCTCTAGCTCTGGGTCTTTATTATTGTGACTGGTAAATTCCCGCCAACATTTGAGTCAACAAGTAAGCGCCTACCCTGGAAACACAAACCGAAACTGTCTCTATTTTCCGCTTGTAACAACTTGTAATAAAGTTGTTACATCTTGGCTTAATGTGTTTATGACGTATTCGAACGTTGTTACAACTTGATATATTGGTTGTTATAACTGGTTAGGTGGTGTTAAAACTTGTTCGAACGTTGTCCCAACGTCGTAGTTTCGGTGTGTGTTTGGAGGGTAATGACTCGACCATGGTCGTCAGACGACGTGTAACAACAACTACCAGAGTTGAGAGGTACTCGTGCGCCTTTATGACTGAAGGGAACTTGATCCGGTAGGGAGCCGGTCGGCCGAGCGGACAGCACACTGGACTTGTGATCCTGTGGTCCTGGGTTCGATCCCAGGCGCCGGCGAGAAACAATGGGCAAAGTTTCTTTCACCCTATGCCCCTGTTACCTAGCAGTAAATAGGTACCTGGGTGTTAGTCAGCTGTCACGGGCTGCTTCCTGGGGGTGGAGGCCTGGTCGAGGACCGGGCCGCGGGGACACTAAAGCCCCGAAATCATCTCAAGATAACCTCAAGATAGATCGTTGTACCTTATAGTCCAAAGGTGAATATTTGTTTACACAGGAGTGTGAGGTTACGCGTTAACATTATTCCCATTAATAATATTTAATATTATTATTTAACATTAGTAAACATCAGAGGTCTACGGTTGTTCAACATCCTCCCAGCGAGTATAAGAAATATTGCAGTAACAACCGCGGATATATTCAAGAGAAAATTAGATAGATTTATTCAAGAAGTGCTGGACCAACCGGGCTGTGGTGGATGTGTGGGCCTGCGGGCCGTTCCAAGCAACAGCCTGTTGGACCAAGCTCTCACAAGTCAAGCCTGGACTCGGGCCGGACTTGGGGAGTAGAAAAAGTCCCAGAAACCCCATTAAGCAGGTATCAAGTAGGCATTATTTACCGACGTACAACGAAAATTAAAAAGTAGAAATCAGCACTATTGAGTTGGACAAACCGGTGAACTATTTTCTACTTGTGTTGCAAAGACAAACTAAACTAACCTAACGTTCCTAGGCCTAATACTCGAGTCTGGGGCCTAATACTCGAGTCTGGGGCCTAATACTCGAGTCTGGGGCCTAATACTCGAGTCTGGGGCCTAATACTCGAGTCTGGGGCCTAATACTCGAGTCTGGGGCCTAATACTCGAGTCTGGGGCCTAATACTCGAGTCTGGGGCCTAATACTCGAGTCTGGGGCCTAATACTCGAGTCTGGGGCCTAATATAGTACATATGTGTACTATATTAGGTTTTTCCTCATAGTTTCCTACCAAGTGTTTCAGACTCGCACTGTATCTTGTGCTACCCACGCCCCAATATATGTGCCTAAGCCATTCAACTTCACCATTGTAATCACTGCTATTATCTTATATCATGGTTGTTATGTTGAATGCAAATTTGACTACATTGTACTAATCAATTACTACATTGTAATAATCCTCAAATTATGCTACAATGACCTGTTGATAATCTTCAAATTTTACTATAATGTACCTACTAATTTTCTTCAAAATTTCTAACAATGTTCCTGTTAATATTTTTCAATTTTGCTACAAAATATCTAATTAATATTATCTGTTAGATTAAGGACCTGCCCGAAACGCTGTGCATGTTAGTGGCTTTACAAGACTGTAAAAACAATCAATGATATGTACACGCATAAACCCAATGTACCTTATTGCATATATATAAATAAATAAATAAATAAATAAAATAAATACTAGGCCTAGAAATATTTAAGTTTATTTTTGCCTTCATTTTTCCGACTATAAAGTGAACAGTACAAAGTTCTACTATCTAATTGCTTAGAACAGCAATCTTTGTACTGTGGAGCACCGAGTTACACAAACCACAATCAAAGCAGGAGAATGGGTTGTCTGTTTAGTAAACAAACCGAGACTCACCAGAGACTGGAGGCAGGTGTAGACAGGAGGATGTGTTGTGGGGTCGTGGTGTGTGTGACGGGGTTATATATACCGGGCCAGACCCAGCCAGCCCCTCCCCCAACACTCACTCCCGCCCCATAATTGTGTGACTGAGAGACGACCCTGGGGCTGACACGCTGTAATTTGCCTCTGCGTCTTTTTGGCCGCCATTGTTATCGTCACAATTGCAAGAGGAAAGGTTTGGCTTCCGGCTACACGTTTACAGAATCCCCTTAATGTTAAACATTATTATTTTTTAACAAATCCTCCGAAGCCGCGATGAAGGTTCGAAACTATGCGTTGGGGGTTCCCCAGGTACACGCTCCACTCGACTACGCCACTACATGGTCAATTGAATTGCAGGTTGGGGGTACTACTGCACCCAGGAGGGTCCCGAGGCTTCAACTGAAGCCTAACCGGTGTGTCACACACTCCCCCCCCCCCCATGCACCCGGGTCCAGGCGTCCAGTAATTCTCTTCCTCTGACTCTCAGTCATACAATGACTGTATTGTAGGAGAGGCGTGGCCCATGGTGCCTCCTCCACACCTGCCACACATGGTGCCTCCTCCACACCTGCCACACATGGTGCCTCCTCCACACCTGCCACACATGGTGCCTCCTCCACACCTGCCACACATGGTGCCTCCTCCACACCTGCCACACATGGTGCCTCCTCCACACCTGCCACACATGGTGCCTCCTCCACACCTGCCACACATGGTGCCTCCTCCACACCTGCCACACATGGTGCCTCCTCCCCACCTGCCACACATGGTGCCTCCTCCACACCTGCCACACATGGTGCCTCCTCCACACCTGCCACACATGGTGCCTCCTCCACACCTGCCACACATGGTGCCTCCTCCACACATGGTGCCTCCTCCACACCTGCCACACATGGTGCCTCCTCCACACCGGCCACACATGGTGCCTCCTCCACACCTGCCACACATGGTGCCTCCTCCACTGTCGGAAAATCCGACACCATTTAATAATAATATCATACAGACAGATAAGAGCTGTGTTGTATAAACAAGTTAACCCATAGAAAACGTAACTTGTAGTGGAATTACCGTCTAAAGAAAACGGGATATCATCACCACATACTATTATAATTCACCACCTATTATGGTGGGAATTATTCTTAAATACATTAGTCTTTGGACTTTACCATCATAAAAACATCTTATATAAATTAACTTAATTATCAATATTAAAGAAGAGTAAATGTGACCCTTCTATCACTTTCTGAAATCTGGACAATGTAAGCCAGGCGTCAGTGGGGAAGGAGGGCAGCCATTGTTGTGTCACCTCCGAGACGCTTGGAGCAAATTCGGCTCCTATCATATCTGGACAATGTCGGCCAGGCGTCAATAGTATGGAGTGTTAGATGCAGCCATTGTTGAGACAAGATCAGAGGCTCATACGGGAGCAAATTCGGCTCCTGTTAAATTTACTTGGACGTAGTGTTATGGAAACTAAAAGTGTACCATTATCAACACGCTGTCTACAAATTCAAGTTAAGTGTCTATCCGAAACCCGTTTATCATTCATTTATGGCCATTAATGTCAGGATATAGGGTGATCCGGTTAGATCACGAAATCGCCTCAAACTAAAGGTAATTAAGCCAGGTCTTTATTGTTCCATGTATAGTGTTTTCTCTGATATAGCTTGTCATATATAGAACCTGGCTTCACAGCTAGCGCCCTTTTGACAGGTCAAGACGAGGAAGCAAGATTTTGTGCACCAGTTACTGGGTGATGGAAGCTACCTCAAAGAGGATAATTTGGTGTCTACACCCTAGTTATACCTGGTGGACTAACCTGCTGTACTATAAGATAAGGAACCTTTTCAATGTATGTAGTCTAATTCTGTAGTTTGATTGGCTGCATATATATAAACTAAACCCCCCCTAATGTGTAGAGGATCGATTTGTGAGATTAAGAGATTATTGCAGAAATACAGTCCACTTATCATTATACAAATTGCTATCGAAGTATATAAATTAACGTAAATATAAATTCATATAAATTAAATAAATATAAATCTCACAGGTCGGTTCCCACATCCACACCTGCCACACATGGTGCCTCCTCCACACCTGCCACATATGGTGCCTCCTCCACACCTGCCACACATGGTGCCTCCTCCACACCTGCCACACATGGTGCCTCCTTCACACCTGCTACACATAGTACCTCCTCCACACCTGCCACACATGGTGCCTCCTCCACACCGGCCACACAAGGTGCCTCCTCCACACCTGCCACACATGGTGCCTCCTCCACACCTGCCACACATGGTGCCTCCTCCACACCTGCCACACATGGTGCCTCCTCCACACCGGCCACACATGGTGCCTCCTCCACACCTGCCACACATGGTGCCTCCTCCACACCTGCCACACATGGTGCCTCCTCCACACCTGCCACACATGGTGTCTCCTCCACACCTGCCACACATGGTGTCTCCTCCACACCTGCCACACATGGTGCCTCCTCCACACCTGCCACACATGGTGCCTCCTCCACACCTGCCACACATGGTGCCTCCTCCACACCTGCCACGCATGGTGCCTCCTCCACACCTGCCACACATGGTGCCTCCTCCACACCTGCCACACATGGTGCCTCTTCCACACCTGCCACACATGGTGCCTCCTCCACACCTGCCACACATGGTGCCTCCTCCACACCTGCCACACATGGTGCCTCCTTCACACCTGCTACACATAGTACCTCCTCCACACCTGCCACACATGGTGCCTCCTCCACACCGGCCACACAAGGTGCCTCCTCCACGCCTGCCACACATGGTGCCTCCTCCACACCTGTCACACATGGTACCTCCTCCACACCTGCCACATATGGTGCCTCCTCCACACCTGCCACACATGGTGCCTCCTCCATTCCTGCCACACATGGTGCCTCCTCCACACCTGCCACACATTGTGCCTCCTCCACACCTGTCACACATGGTGCCTCCTCCACACCTGCCACACATGGTGCCTCCTCCACACCTGCTACACATAGTACCTCCTCCACACCTGCCACACATGGTGCCTCCTCCACACCTGCCACACAAGGTGCCTCCTCCACACCTGCCACACATGGTACCTCCTCCATACCTGCCACACATGGTACCTCCTCCACACCTGTCACATATGGTACCTCCTACACACCTGTCACACATGGTGCCTCCTCCACACCTGCCACACATAGTACCTCCTCCACACCTGCCACACATGGTGCCTCCTCCATACCTGTCACATATGGTGCCTCCTCCACACCTGCCACTCATGATGCCTCCTCCACACCTGCCTCACATGGTGCCTCTTCCACACCTACCACACATGATGCTTCCTCCACACCTGCCAAGTGCTGATAACATTACACCTATATGTAATGTTATCAGCACCTGGTGCAGTGTCCTTACCACCTCTTTTGGTTCTGATTAGTTCCTGTTTGGTGAAGGGACAGTCACATTCCTCATTTATAGCTATGCTCTCATGAATGACTGTCAACCTCTCTTGTTTTAATTGTTCTTGCTGCTTTCCGACCATTGCAGGAAGCTGATATGAAGCTGTTCTTTCTGCAAATTGGAGAGCAAGTCTCTCAGCCTCCTGCAATGGTTGAATACATGCCTGTGGTCGGGCTGGTCGACCTGATATAGTTTTAATCTGACCCCATATCTTGCCAAGACTACTATGTTCATTTAGAGTTTGACACCACTCAAACCATCTTGCCTCCTTTACTTCTCGAGAAACTCGTCTTGCTTCAGATATCACCGCTCTTAGCAGAGTTCTTCCTTCTGGTGTGGGGTTTCTCTTTAGATGTTTTCTGAAGATGTTGACTCTGTGGTTCTGTTCTTTAACTTCATTACTATAGAACTAATAGTTCTTTCGTTTTGTGTTTCCTGTGATAATGATTGGAATAGCTTTGTTTGCAGCAGCTGCAATGGCTTCCTGCAGATTGGTCTCGTGTATGTTCAAATCCTCTGGTGGCGTGTATGTTGCATACTCGATTTCACTTTGCCTCAGATCTACAAGATTTTGTTGAAGTTCTTGAAGTTCTATTGCTCTCAGACTTCTTATTGACAATCTAAGGTTACACTCAATTTCTCCTTTAAAGGCAAAGGAAGATTCTTTGGCTAACTTATCAGCTCTATCATGCATTCGGAGGCCACCATGAGATGGAGTCCACATGAAATGGACTCTGTTACCATCATTAATAATTTTGTTGTATTTGAGTCTAGCTTCGGACACGAGCATGTTACAGTTATGTCTTAAAGAGTTGAGAGCATTTAAGGATAATAAAGAGTCACTTATAATTAATGTATCAAGCTTGGAGACTTGTACACATTTCAGTGCAAGGATCAAGGCAAATAGTTCAGTCTGAAGGGTAGAGGCCCAGTTGTTTATACGGACTCCCCACTCAAAGTACAAGCCATCGCCCATTGTCAGAACAGCTGCACTTCCAGCTGCACCCGTGGGGCGGTGTAGGGAACCATCAGTGTATATGATTTGAGAGAGAGAATGCTCTGTGGACAGAGCATCAATATGGCTTAAGGCGTTGAGCTTTGCCTCAGGACGAAGCTTGGGCTGATCTCTAATTTGCTTCTTGGGTGGAAAGGGAGGGATTAAAACTGGAAAGGGTGTAACCTCCCACGGTGCAGGAAAGTGCCGTTGTTGTTTCTCTTGGTACAAATCATGAACCTGATACATTTTGAGCTCATTTCCAGTTTTAGTTATCCAGTCTAAGTGGTGTTTTACCCCCCACACTTTGCCCAAAACGCTATGCGTACTAGTGGCTTTAAGTATTGTATGTAGTAGCTCTATATATAAATCCTACATTATGTTTGTAAATCAAATATGTATGTACTTTTCCTGAATAAAATTTTATTTATTTATTTTATTTATTTATTTGGAGCAATGCTGACCTTCAATAAAGACATTCTGTAGGGCTTCTGTGCAATGGTTAGGATGAGTTAGCCTAAGCATTTTTATACCAATTTGACAGTTAATTTCAGTAACACGATCAACAATGCTCGGAATATTAAGTTCCTTTCTC